AACAACAATTATGAGGAATGTTTGGTAGTGGAAACAGCGAAAGAATGTTAGGAACACACGGTTAGCAATATTTTGAGATTACAGTTTTAAAAACATGGAGAAATAAATCGAGAACCGAGCGCACTTTTTTGTGCGCAATAAATATACAGTTATTTCAATGGGTGGCACTGTAGCTCTCCGGTTTATCAGTACATTTTTTTCGGAGGGCTATATATACAGATCTGCTAGATAGAATGTTCTATCGTTAAAATGATATTGTCCTACGGACCCGGTTTAACGATAGAAATCGTTCCTGCAGCTAATGTTTGTCAAGAAATTTCTGGGTTGAATTTTTTCCCCTGGATCCGCGCCTGGTGCATATATATCGCCGCCTGTTAGCCCAACTTTTAACAACATCTTTAAATTCGCACTTGAAGTGACTCACCACTGCTTTATATTAAAGTATAAGATGTTAAGAGGACAAATCGGTAATGTTCAATAGAAAAAATACAACATCAATAATATTTTAAAGACTTCTAAACCATTAATATAAACACTGTACCTCTCGATTTTCGTTCCATCTTCCAATAAAGAATACGTCAGGGGAAATCCTGGTTCAAAGGTCAAGACCGTCTGTCAAAAAAAAATCTTCGAATACAGGCCTTTTTTTCCACATCCGATCGGATGTGGCATCCTTCCCATTCCAGTAACCAGAAAACATGGCAAAAAGCCCCATTAAATGATTAATTTATGCATTATTTCACAAGACAAAATATTTGCCTAAAACATGATTATGAAGGAAGTTTGCGGGATGATGTGTTTAGGATGATGTTTCCCCCCTGAATAATAAATTGGATCGGGTTTGGACTCATAAATATAAAGAACCCTTCATTAGGCGGGAAACTTGAAGTTGTGGATACAAAAATGTTTTATCATCAGAGCATTTTGAATAGAAGAGGGGGAGTTTTTGGGACAGTCTGGTAAAATTATTTTCAAAATGGTATCTTAAATATCTTTCAAAGAATATTATGTTCTTTCTAAAAGGTAGACATGGTAGAATCTTCTATATTTTCATATATTCGATCAATGCATACTATCTTTGCAAGATATATAACTGTATTCAGCGGCAGCTCACACATATTGGTCCGACCAAAATAATTCCATCATGATAAGTAGATACAACATTATTGTTCATGATAACAGTATTTAGTTGTGTATGTCATACGTTAAAGAAATCAAAAATAACGTCAAAATATCATTAGAAAGTCACTTTCCCCCCGAAATGCAAATAAAAAATATCAATATTCCTACGCTCGCTCCCTCCTCAGCCTTTTTTTTTTTTTTTTTACATGTTTGATAACAGAGAATAATTAGGTCATTCTTCGATTCATATCTTTTCACCGATGAATTGATAATACTATATCAACAATTGTATTAAGTACATGTTTATAGCCCGTTAATTATCATACAATTTGTTCTTAAAGAAAAAATTAATCATCTGTGTATGTGTATTATTAAATGACGGAATTTTCAATCCCTGGCCTGCTCGTGTGTACACTTTGTAAACTGTAAAATATGTGTGGCAAAACGACAATTTGGACATTCTTAAAGAAAACATTAATCCATTACTTCACATATAAAAATACATGTGTGTAATTAAATGCAACGGATTTTTTCTGGCTGCTCGTCAAAAAAGACTTACTTGAGAAAATTTACACTAAACTGAAAGGTAGGCAAATAATGTGTTAAGGCAAAACGAAAAACTATCCACCTAAAACCCCATGCACAGTGATTCGCCCGAAAATTTCCTGATGACAATAGTAGTACCCGAGGCCTTGCGAGCGCCATTGGAAGACTTCGGGTACTAAGTATTGTCATCGGGTGAGTTATCTTTTCTAGTTTCACACTGTAGAAAAATACACAGGTGGATAAAAGCTATTTTCGATGGATATACTCAGGAATATCTTAGCCTGGATAAGTACTAGGAATATTATGTTGCGCTAGTTAATAAAAAAGGATTTGTGTAAGTTTTTACAGTAAAGTTGTTTTCTTGCTTTTTAAAAAATCGTGTGCTACTTTCGATTCTTCCCTTGTGTATTTTTATATGTGAAGTAGAGAACAGAGTGGATAAGATGCCCCTGTGGTTCAGCATATACCATTATATATAGAACTTGAATAATGTAAGTAATTTCTGCCACCTTTATACATTAGTATAAACAGTTATTTTCAAAACAAAAAAGGATTTTCCATCTATAGAATTTTTTTTTTTACTATTTTAACCGGCCATTTTAAACACAAGTTTGGCAATGAAAATGTAACAACAAACTATATATAGTTCAACTATTGTATAATTTTTATTAATCAGAATACATTTAATGACCTGGTGAAAAGAAATGGGGTTTCGTCTGTATAGCGTTTTCAAAACAAAACGTTTTACCAAGGACGCTGGAAGTCGTGTGACAGTCCATTGCACGTGTGTAGACCAAGGCTAAAATTGGTCTTGCGGACACATGTACATGTAGGCCTATGTGTACTTTTGGGGAAAATGGGTGACATTTTGTGTATGGAATCACGAAAATTTTACAACACATAGTCCATAATTAGACAGTGGAGTTATTTAATATGAAAGCCATTTAACACTTTGAAAATATTAAATTAACAGCAAAAATTTGGATAGAACATATCATAATTCTTGTAAAATGTATATTTAGCCCGTATCAAACATTTACTTATCAGGCAGTATTTTTCCAGAAATTTTAGCATTACAGGGGCTGATCCAAAAAAAGGGGGTTTTCCAGGTTTTCTTACTCGGAGGTTTTCCCACCCCAGACACACTGTCAAAAAGATTCACAACATTTACCATTTTAAAGACTAAGGTTGTGGAAAATTATTTTTGTTTTATGTAAAATTTTCCTTTGGAAAGGTAACCCCAGTCATAAAATTATATTAATCAGAATTTATAGGCCTACTGTTCAAAGCATTAAAATTGAATGGAATTGAAGTTTCCAAGATGTAATTATTTTCTTTTAGAATTTTAAAAATATTTTTAGGGGTGGGGTTATTTTAAAACTAAAAAGTCATACATGGTTAGTTCCTTGTTAAAAAGATATGATTGAAAAAATGTACATATATAGCCAACACAGACATTGAAATTCGAGAACTAATATCAAATATCATTGTTACATGTTACATATCATATCTTAGCATATATTAAAAATAAGTAAATATTTGTCTACCGTTAGGTGATATAAAAAAAAAAGTTTTGAAGGGAATTTTTAAGTATAATGTGTGAAAATCTACACTTGTATTCAATGCTAAGCTAGACGTACAAATATTTATTCTCGGAAATGTGTTACTCTCTCTCTTTCTCTCTCTCTCTAAACTTTGCAAAAGTAGGGAAGTATTTCTCGCTGGTCGTCCTCCCCCTCTGATCCGCCACATGCATTCCGTCTTATGTAAATTTTGTAGTGAAATTCGACTATTCGTGTCAAGGCAACAGTTCGATATTGGCCGAACTTGTACATTTGGCAGGTTTTACAAAATTAATCGATCTCAAATTTCTATCCATTAATATATCGGTTAATGGTTTCAGCGATAGATTCGGCGATGTCGGCGATGTCGAAACACCACTATTAACACAGTTTTAAGGAACTTACCCTGTTCAAGGTTCTGTTGGGCATATGTTAACATTACATTTATTAGGCCTAGGTCATAGGTGTTTTAATCTGAATTGATTGGATACTGTGGCATGCCAAAATGTCATGAAAAATGAGATAATCACATTTTTACATAAACTAGTTTTACGGTGGGGTCAAAAGTTAAAAACTTAATGAATAGTTAACAACGTTAAGTCTATGTTTCAAAGTAAACTTTATCTTAACAAAATGCATTTTTGCAACAACAAGATTGTAATGATAATGTACAATCAATTTTTCAATTACATAATTTAATCAATAGTTGCTTGTGTGATAATTTAGAAATAATTTAGTTTATATAAAATTTCACACGCCAATGTCACATTAAAATACTCTTCATGATTAGTGAAAGTCTGGACAAAGTCATTCAAATAAACCTAAATATTTCATCATATTCATTGTCAACATTGCAATACAGAAAGATCATGAAAATTGAAAAAAATTACTCATTGTAAAATATATTACACTCTACTGCATTTTTCTTCTCCGTAAGAAATTTCCCAGACTGACATACATAAACTCCAACTGACAATTAGTTAAATATCCTTTAAATAGAGCAAAAAGACACATTGACTTGCTAATGACCATTCCCTCCAATTTAATATTCAAATAAAGGAAGTTATAGTTAACATGCTCAGTAAAAAGTTTCAGAGATTTGTGAAACTAGATTGAAGCAAAACCCTCCTAACTAAAGTTTACAATTGTACACTATAGTTTACAAACGGATTTCTGTGATGAGTTTATCAACAAAATATGGAATTGTTAACGTCTTGGACATGCAGAACCCGTGCGTCTTTTTAAACCCGTGCGGAACCATAGTTAACAGCCGTTAAAGCCATGCCTATTCCGCCTCGAACTTTCGTACGGATGATGTTAATCTACAATTACAATGTTCTAAAAGGTTAACATGGTTTAAGGAACTTATTTTGCCTGTTCTCAGGTTCTGTTGGGCTTGTTAACATTACAATATTAGGCCTAATAGGTGTTTTAATGAATTGTATTCATATGCACCCCTTTGCAGAAGGTAAGGCATTTATTAATTGTTTTACTGCTGTCTGTCAGTCTGTCTGTAGGTCCACCAAAGTTTCTGTGGTTCATTTTCTTTGCAGAAGTTGCACATACTGTAATCAAATTTGGTATACAGATTTTTCATCAGAATATTTAGGTCAAATTTTGTTTTGGGTATGATCAAGCCATATTTAACAGAGTTTTGCCCCTTTGTGAATTTCACCAATTCACTGGTCCACTTGACCTGTGAATTTTTTTTTATTTAAAAAAACAATGCTGATGTTAGCAATTCAATAGACCCTTTTCCTATAACATATTTTGCCTAGGAGTTACATGTATTCCCCTTAGCCACCATAATATTGTAGGGCAACATTCCTGGCCAGATCTCTTCATTATTCAACCAAGTTCAATTTGTTATGCTGGTTACTCAATACTGAGGTAAAGATATTCTTTTTCATGTTCTTATGAATATACGTTTGTTAAAGTCTCTACAGTAAAACTTGTTTAGTATGAACACAGATATTGCGAATTCATGGATATAGCGAAGTTATCCTGGATCCCCAGCTATATAAATGTAAGGAATTCCGTATATTGATATAACAAATTACGGATATAGCGAAGTAAATTCAGAGGTCCTGACAACTTCGTTATCACTGAGTTTTACTGTATTAGTTCATAATTTTCAGATTGTAAATATTTCCCCCAAAATATTTCTTGCATGCATGTTTAAGATTGACAACTTTCACATTTACAAATGTTATTCCCCTCGGCAGGGTTCAATCCGACAGGCCTCTGGCAGTCCTATAACGTTTGAAATTTAAAAATATTAACTAGGGATGGGTATCGCCAAAAATTTTGTAGTGTTGGATGGATATCACGATTTTATACACAAAATATTCACCATATAAGATATTTTTATAAGCAAATTTTGCAATGATTTTAAATGAATAGTCATTATTTTTCTTAAAAATATGATAGAAAAACAAAATTTAACTTTTTCAAATTTTTTTGTACATAAAATTAATCATGTTTGGATGGTAAGATGCAATTCTTATCACCTTTTCAAGGTCATTTGTGACCTTTAATATAATTGATTAATTTAAAAGATTGAACAAAATTTTAATAATTACTGGATCTTTAAATATGTAAAAAATATATTTGTATCCTTATTAAAAAATGTACCTAAATTACCGGTACTTAGTTTTTTATCATATACGTAACAGCAAATAAAAAATCGCAATATTGGTATATCGATAAAATTGCACATCCTTAATATAACAAATTTGGGACAAAATGGGAAATTTTTGCATAGCAGAAATGGGAGATCAAATTAGAGAGAAATTAATTGGTTTTCAAAGAGGTAAATTCACTACTTTGCCCTACAAGATGGTGATCTTAATTTACCTCCTTGGCAAAATATATCAAAAGAAAAGGGTCTATTGTGTGAATTAAGAGTTTTGATGGCTGAATCATTAAAATGATCAAATGTCCTATGTAATTCGGTGTGTTTTAGGGCTATGATTAAAACAGATTAGTATTGTACTATTCCATTGCATCAACATTTTATATATATTTTTCTGTGAAAAAAAAATTACATTTCAATTTTCATATATGTTGCAACAAATTGCAGTCATGTCTCAACTTCAATTTTATAGTTTATCAAAATTACTAATTTTTGAATTTTAAGTAGAGACTGTAGCTATTTGCATCAAATGTTTTCATGAATTTTGCAAGTAAACAATTTAAACTTCAGATTTGCATTTTTATTAGTTTTAACACAACCATTTAAAATTATGATGTATTATTTGTTTTAATTAATCCTACACTTTTAGATTCAATTAAAAAAAATATTTTATAACATGCAAGAAATGGAAATTAGATTTATAAAAATTTGTGCTCTCTGTTAATTAAGGTTACTTAATTTTCATGTGCACCCTAACCAATTTATGATTATCAACAATATCTGATGTGTTATCATGCTGTGGCATATTGTAGGCACTATGTATTATAATCAATAGTGAATTACCATATAACATAAATCAATTTTAAAATATTTCTGAAAAATGCATGTATGAAACACAAGTCGGGGGTATATATTATAATGGACAGTATTTTCCCCTGGCAAATTTTACACCAACATCAGGCATGATACAATCATGTAAATTGTCGTATAACATTTGAAATTTAAAAATATTAACTAGGGATGGGTATCGCCAAAAATTTTGTATCGCAATATATCACAATTTTTTCCCAAAATATCACGATAATATGATATTTTCATAAGCAAATTTTGCAATGATTTTAAATGAATAGTCATTATTTTTCTTTAAAATATGATAGAAAAACAGAATTTAACTTTTTCAAATTTTTTTGTACATAAAATTAATCATGTTTGGATGGTAAGATGCCATTCTTATCACCTTTTACAACATTTTTAAGACTTTCTATAATTGTAATTTAAAAGATTGAACAAATAAATGAATAATTACTGGACTTTAAATATGTACCTATAAATACCGGTATTTAGGTCTCTGTATCACGATACATGTACCTAAATACCGGTATTTAGGTCTCTGTATCACGATACGTATCACGCAATAAAAAATCGCAATATACTGGTATATCGATAAAATTGCACATCCTTAATATTAACAGGTAATTTAGAAAGGACAAAGTGGGAAAAATGAGCATTACGCCGACAACGGGAGATAACTCTTAGGAATGTGAAATTCATCTATTGGTTGTTCAAAGAGGTAAATTCACTACTTTGCCCTACAAGATGGTGACTAAAGGGAATAACTCCTAGGCAAAATATATCAAAAGAAAAGGGTCTATTGTGGATAGAATGTTCTCACTTCATTAAAATGATAAATGTCCTACGGACTCGGTGTGGTGAGGGCTTGTCCCGAGACACAGATTATTCGAACTATTCCATTGCATCAACATTTTTTAGGTTGAATTTTTCTGTGACCTCATTTTGTCAACATGTCATGATGTGTTAAGCTCAGTTTTAGAGAAACAACTCAATATCATTTTTATCAAACTTACTATGCTGGTAAGTAAGTGAGAGGCTGAGAGCTATTCAACTGCATCAAATGTTTGTCTTTGAATTTTCCAGTGACCATGACCTTACTTTTCTTAAATTTGCATTTTTATTAGTTTTAAAGAAACCATTTAAAATTTGGTGAGAATTTAACGTCTAAATCCAACTTTTTAGATTTCAATTAAAAAAAAAATTTTCATAATTGCAAAAACAATTTCAGATTTATAAACCAATTAAAGTGCTCTCTTGTACTACAGGTTGGCAGCTACAATTAAAGATGAACATGTGCTGAAGAGAAGAGATGTTACAAGAGTGAACCTGTGTAAAACATGGTACATATTGTATTACATATGTAAATCATAATCTTGATCATGTTGATTACATATAGACATAAGAAATACAATTTTAAAATATTAAGAGAAAAATGAATGTATGAAACACAAGTCTTCTATATATTATAATGCTTGAGTATTTTACTCCAAATTTTACACCAACATCAGCATGATCAGGCAACATGTACCTTTTATAGTTAAGGTCTGGATCTTAACAATAATAAATGAAAAATTGGGTTGGTAGGTAGGCAGGAAAAGTTTTTTCATAGAAAATTTCAAAATCATATTGACAGGATAATTTAAGAAAATTCAGAGATAAAAGAGAGACAAATTATTGTTTCCTTGAGGTTAACAAAATTTGAGATCCCTAGGGCAAATCTACAGGGGGAGGGGGGACAAACAATATTTGAAAGATGATCTATGCTCTACCAGGGTGTAAAAATAGAAAATTTTGTGAAGTTCTTTATTTCTTTCAAAATGTTAAGTAAAAACAGAAAATTTTGTGAAATTCTTTTGAAATGGCCCCACTGATTATCTGTAAATCCATGTTTTCAGTGAAGACATCGTGGATTACATCATGGTGAGGAAGATTCAATGTTTTACATAGAAAGTACCTAGGAAATATCTTTGAAAATCTTCTTCTCAAGAACACACTACCTCTCAGAGAAGCCAAACTGATGTTTGGATGTGTGACTCTACAAAAAACAAACACAGTACTTACTAGGTAGGTACCGACACTGGGAAGTTTGCCATGACTGTACAAAAACAAACACAGTACTTGCTAGGAAATATACCAAAACTGATGAAAATGACTGTACAAAAAACAAACACAATTCTTGCTAGGTAGGTAAACACCAATTCAAACTTTCTTTTAAATTTTGTTCAGTGGGGACAGTATAAATAAAATAAATTTACTAGGTTACCAACACTGATGGGAAATGTGTACAACTGTACAAAAAACAAACACAGTACTTACTAGGTAGGTACAGTTGTGTGCCAAAAGTGAAGATAATTTTATTTTTTCTTTATATATTTCATTGAAAACAATATTTTGTAAAATTGCTGGTATGACAACATTTCTTGACAGATTTTATCAAAAAAATTTTGATAATCCAAGAAATTATTGTAGTTAAAAACAACAATAGTTTTTATCTGATAAGCATTGATAATTTAAAAATATTGTAATTTAAGTGTGACATGAATTTTTAAGTCATATATTCACAATGAATTATATAGTCAACATTGATCTTGAATTTTAGAACTGATGTTTAGTGATGAACTATATTTTACTACATATTAAACGTGTAATGATATTTTAAAGAAAGATAACTACACATTTCCTGGTTTAAGTACTGAAATAAATAATTAAATTGGACAAAAATTGACCATTTACCTATAATTTTACAAAATGTTGTTTTCAATGAAATATATAGAGAAAAAATAAAATTATTTTCACTTTTGGCATGCCACTGTATCAACTCCAACCCAAAGTTTTTTTTATTTAATTGTTTGAGCTTTTATTGACAGTATAAAAAAAATTTAAAAAGTGCTTCAAATTACAAGTACATGTCATGCATGCATGAGTATTTATATATTTCTTTAGGGAGTTGTTTAAACAATTAAGTTCTCTACATTTGTAGGATCATCATGTAATCATGATTATGAAATATAGCAATCTACAGAACAGTCTTTGAAAATATCTTGATGTATATATGGAGTTGGTAAAAATATTAGTAATGGGGATAAATTATAGGAACACAAAATTTGTGCTTCTTTGATCATCATAAGACATGGCTATGATTAAGGCTACATAAATTTGATTCCCTGTTCGCTGGCCAGTTTTTCTCCTAAACAGATTTGGGTGAGGGAGGCCATTTTTTCTTATCATTTTATTGGCGATGAAGTAAATAAAATTTGGAATGCGTATACATGAACCTCAAAATTCACAAACTTTTTTTCGAGCTTAGTCTCTGCATTATCTTTGTTTTATTTTGTCAAAAATAAGATAAAAAGATGATGAGATACAAATTTGGAATGCATCACAGTTCTTGAAATCTTTTTTTCGCTGTCAGTCATTTGGACCGACTGCCATGTGAAGTTTGTCAGTCCAGACAGATTTCTATCAGTCCAAAATAAATTCAATAAAAACATGAAAATTGTATTTAAATTTTATTATCAATAAATACGACGTCTATAAACACTGCACACTTCTTACCCTAGCGCCATCAACAAAATTGTTTTAACAGTTTAACAATCATAGTTACTGTGATAGTTTGGCACAAGTTAGAAAAATCTGTCTTGATCGGAACAAGTCCTCACAACAGTTATACTCGCAATGTGGCAAATAATTACAGAATTGCTCCGAAATGAATTTAAAGTATTCGAAAGGATTTGCACTGGAAATAACTTCAAAATTAATTACAACAAACCTTTTTTAGGTCGCATATGCCTTTAAACCTAAATTATGATCCAAATAAAGATGATAATTCAACTAATATTCTTTTTGATTATATCTCGCTTCTAATTTACACGCTGTGTTTGCATTCTGAACTCTCTGGAATCTTCGTAGTAAATGTACTGAGTTGGAGTTATTGCCTGTGTTTATTTTGCGACAAGTGAATATACGGAACAAATTCTATTATTAAACCGGGTCCCTAGGACATTTATCATTTTAACGATAGAACATTGTCTCTAAATTTGCACTTGTATTAATCGAGAAGCCATTACAACATGCAGAAATTTAAGAGTTTGAAAGATTATGATCGGTCAATTATAGGGAATTTGTACGAAATTTAGTTAGATTTTTCGCAAGTTCCTCTGTCAACACCGTCCGGTCATTTGGACTGACACAGAATAGAAAGTAATCGGTCCTTGGTTGTTTTTATCGGTTTTGCCGACAGGACCGAAAGATTTCAAGAACTCTGATGCATCTACATGTTCTGTACCTCAAAACGGATGCATGCGAACCATAATTTAAATTTTATTTAGCCTACTTAGTTATTTCTTGGAACGATTGTAAAATTTTACATGATGTTGTTAGAATTAGTGCTATTCCTTTTTATTTTGCAGAGGATATCACATCTTTCATGGTGAAAGTGAGACTAGCAGCAAATATAGCAGAAAATATTGATCTTAATATTGCTTGCAGGTACATGTAATTGCTTAGTTTATAGTTTTCAAGAATAATTAAACCTTAAAAGTTAATAAATGAAAGAAAGGACCATGATCATGTCATGATGTGTTGTCTTGTGACACATTTCTCTGAATTTTTCAAAGTACAGTGTACAATGTACATGCATGTATTAAAAATAGTAAATTTAACTATATTCAATATTCATATATTTTAGACCGGATCATGTAACAATGCAAGACATAGTAGAATTGACAACAGAAAAACAACCCTTCTATGACCCATACTTCGGCAAAATTGCAGACTTTCATGAGGTATTTAACTATATTATACTTTATTTACCTTTAAATACTAAAATCTGATTGGTTTGGGTGCATTTAACAAACCATAATTTACCCTCAGTGTTCACCACACTTGATAACGTGTAACATTAAGAAAATGTCACATGCCTTGAGAATCATGTGCATACGGTTCACTGTAGAATTCTCAAAACGTCAGTTGTGCATTTGAAAGAGACAGAATAAACTTGACATTATAATAACAGCTTGTACGTGTCCAGTGTAACTTACTTGAAAACAACAGACAAAACATGCTTGCATGTGCAGAAATAAAAAACTTTCAATGATGACTTTTTGAGTATTAAACAAATGATAAAGAGATCGGTAAATCTTTTTTGAAGCTTTCATTTTGAGGAAAACAGAAGCTGAGAGTTTGAGAGCTTTCTGTTTCTAAACGTGAACTTAATGACAATCTTCAAATTGTTTTTGATGACATCTGAAATTAATAAAAAGTAGTAAAATATAAATAAATAGTGCCTGTTTTTTAGGGTAACAGGTGACCATTAAGGCCCTTGACATTTTGTATTCATTTGTATTTTTTTTTCCTTTATTTTTCTTATGTTAAGTTTGCATGGGTAAGAATTTATGTTTTGTTTCTTTCGTTTCAGTTTCTTTTAATTTAACGTCAACCAATTTTGTTGGTAAGATTATTATTTCTCTTCTTTTTCCATAGATTATTTTAGTTTTTTCATATAATAAACAGAGGTTTATTTCATAGTGAATTATTAAATAATTTTCATTTTATTTATATACACAAAAATATTGATTTAAAACTCAACAACTGAGGTATAAATTCTCAAGTATGACAATCTTATGCTTATTTTGATGGATCCTCTCAGGACTTTGAAGATGTGCAGAAATTACTGACAGAGTTATCCTCTCCTGGTAGCGACTCCAGTATGGAACGCCTGCGACGTCGCAGAGGTTCGGAAGCTTCATCCTCAATTCAAGTCGAGTCAGAACACAGCTTCCTAAAATCAGGTGAGTAACCAATCAGGGAGAAAACTTTAAAAGATTTAACTCCCCAAAAAATTGTCAAGTGAATGGAGTTCTTTGAAATACAGCAGTGATATTTCAGATAAAATTTTGATATTACTTATTTGAACAAATTTTAAATTGGAAAGTATAAAAGGAAAAAATCTGGAAAAGAATGCAAAGATGCAAAAGTTGCGGTATGCTTCAGTAAGTATTTATATCCAGTATATTAAAATAAATGTATGAGAATTCATGCAGAGAGAAGAAAGCTAATAGAAATGGTCCTTTATAGCTTTAGGTTCTCCTCACACTGTGTCAAGCTTGGACCAGATTACTCTGAAAGAGATCGATATGCCTATTCTTCCACAGGTAAGTACATTGGACTGAATGGGAGAAGGTTAGATGGGTTCAGATACAAGAGAGTTACAGCAAAACTCGGTTATGACCTATGAAATTCCTACGCTATATCCGTATTCGTTATAACCGTATAAGAAATTCATAAAATTTGTATAGCTGGGGATCCAAGATGACTTCGCTATATCCGTAAATTCGCAATATCCGTGTTCATACTAACCGAGTTTTGCTGTATTAAAATAGATACCATATTAGAATTAAAGATTGGCATAATTTTTACCTAAAGGTTTTGAAAGTTTTTTATTTTTCCCAATTTCAGTATTGGTAATCTTGTAAAATTAATTTAAAGAAATAAATTATCTTTCGAATGCTTTAATAATATTATCCATTAAAACTTTATTTTGAACACTATGGCATAGAGAATTAACTTTGGAAATACATGTATTTTAAGAATCAAGATTATTAAGGTTAACAAGATAAAAAAAAATAAAATTCTAAAATCATAGCTCTAGAAAAGTTGATGAAATAACTTGAGTTTTAATTCAGATAGCTGAGCAGACAGAGTTGCCTCCTCTTGATGAGCAGAACATACAAGCCCTGCTGAATGAGTCAGCTAGAATGGACACTCTCCATCATGTTGACACATCACTTCAGCCTGATGTTGCTATTCCTGTGGGAGAGAGGTAATTAACAGTTTATCACCTGAGAAATCACACCAGGCTAATTTTGCTAATATTTTCCTTTTAGGTTTAAACCCTTGCATTAATAGGAAGTCTTTGCAAAACTTGAGAAAAAATATTCCGCAACATCATTGTACTCCTAGTCTGCAAATGGTTCCACAAAAAATCCGCAATATGATTATTTACGACTGGCCATTACATTTTTGTTTCACATAAAATGTCATTAGGCTTGATATTTTCTAGCTCTGTAAAGGCATCAGAAGCATTTATCAGTCTCTCTCCTCAAAAGACAACCAAGGATGCAAAAGAACTTGAAGAACAGATTATGTCACCCAAAGAAAAGACCCCCCGAGTACTGACAGAGGAACCCCTCCCAGAGGCCCCACCAGCTGTCCGTGAACTTCGACCTAGGTCACAGCCAGAGGTCACCCTAATGCCCCCACCTGAGGAGGAACCTCATAGGAGTACAAGAAAAGTAAAATTAGTTCTTGCTTCATGCATAGTTAACTTTTGAACTGTGTTGGGATATTGTAGAAGAGTTACTGGGGAAGGGCATTTCATTAGGAAAATGCCCTAATGGAAGTACATGTATCTTCTAACAACAATGCAAAGATTGCTGGAGATTTTTCGCTCAAACTTGAAGAAAAAATTCAATAATTAAAACTTAATGCTTCATTTAATCTCTTTTTATGCAGAGGCGGATGGACTTGTCACTAGAGTTAGCTCCCTTGCCTCCGAGTCCTAGGACGGTGAAAAGAAGGCGTCGTCACTTAATTGTGGATGAGAACATAATGGTTCCCAAGACAGAGATGAAGAAAAATCTCCAGACTGGCAGTGAGCTGTCTAAACCATTTGTAAGTTTTTAGTCTGTCATTCTGTTCTTACCACAACTCTCTAATGTGGAGAGATATAGAGAAGTTAGACTTTAGATTTGATGATATTAAGTGTAATTCTAATATTATAAATGTATACCTTTTGCAGCCTCTAAGTTAAAGTTGTGTAAAATTGACTTCTTTTTTTTTTACAAGAGTCCTTAATTTGACTGCAATTCATTGCATTCTTTTTGGTACAGGTTAAAAGGAACAAGTTTTTAAGAAGATAATATTACAGTTGTTGAATTGACCTTATTTTTAAAACCCTTTTCTTATCCCAGAGTGTCCCTGTCATTGGACGATCAGACTGTGCCACTCTTTTCAATCAACCAGGGAGCAAGTGCCTTAGATTGTCTCCCCTTATTAATTTGTGGAGACGTAATCTCAGACCGGGGGTGCTGGAGACCGAGTCTGATATTGAAACACCTTTCTGGACAGTGCCTAGTATTTCTAGTGAGTCAGAGTTACATTTTTTAGAAAACTAGAAGAAGGATATAGATTTGTTTTTAGAATGCTAATGGTATGTAACTTAATTTGCGTATACAGGTGACTCTCGATCTCTTGAAGTTCAAGGGACCGCAAGAAAAGTTCGAGAGATCGAGGGGTTCAAGAGATTGATAAAATCCGGAATTTTCAGTTTCGATCATCGAAGTCCTACTTTTATAGATACCGGAAGTATATGTAAATAAACAGGGGCTGACAAATATATTTTTAAGGCACTAGTCCAAGGGCAAGTACATTGTCAAAATTGACTTGCCCTACCTGAATTTTTGCTTGCCCTTCCATAAACTAATTGTATATTTATAGATATTTCAAAAAAGAGGAAGACAAATGCTGAGCAAGCCCCCATGCCCAGCTTTTAATTTATGGCCTACAAATAAATTCTATTTTTGATAAGTCACTTGCCCGCGGGCAAGTGGTTGATAAAATTCCACTTGCCCACCCTTAAAATTCACAATCCCCTAGCGTCGGGCGATGGGATTTGTCATCCCCTGATAAAGTCATTGCATGTGTTCAATCGTATTTGACAGGAAATTTACTTGATATCAACAACAATGATTGTATTTCGAATAAATAAAACGAATTTCTGAAGTTTCAGTATTTATTTGTTCCTATTTCATGATTACTGTATACAGGGAAATTTTCACCCCCGTTTTATTTTTGCCCCTTTCGCCCTTACCTCGGTTGGGTGAATTTAAAGCAGGGTGAATTTAAAGAATACAGTATAATTTCTTAAACAAAAGTGTGACTGGGCAAATTTAAGACGGGGCAAAATTGTTTGTTCGATTGATAGGGTGAAAATAACACGGGGAGAAAATAACCTGTATACAGTACCTGAAACCAAAGAGCAATTGTCAGTTTGGCTATTCCGCGGCTTGACCCGTCCTTCACCAGTGTTCACCAGATTTTTTAGCTCACCTGAGCCAAAGGCTCAAGTGAGCTTTTCTGATCACATTTTGTCCGTCTGTCCGTCTAGCTGTCCGTCCGTCTGTCCATCTGTAAACTTTTCACATTTTCGACTTCTTCTCAAGAACCACTGGACCAATTTTGACCAAACTTGGTACAAAGCATCCTTGGGTGCAGGGGAATTAAAATTGTGAAAATGAAGGGCCAAGTTCCCTCACAAGGGGAAATAATCAAGAAAAGACAAAAATAGGGTGGGGTCATTAAAAAATCTTCTTCTCAAGAACCACTGGGCCAGAAAAGCTGAAACTTATATGGAAGCATCCTTAGGTAGTTCAGATTCTAAATTGTTAAAATCATGACCCCCGGGGATAGGGTGGGGCCACAATGGGGAATCAAAGTTTTACATAGAAATATATAGGAAAAATCTTTAAAAATCTTCTTCTCAAGAACCACTGGGCCAGAAAAGCTGAAACTTACATGGAAGCTTCCTTAGGTAGTTCAGATTCTAAATTGTTAAAATCATGACCCCCGGGGATAGGGTGGGGCCACAATGGGGAATCAAAGTTTTACATAGAACTATATAGGAAAAATCTTTAAAAATCTTCTTCTCAAGAACCACTGGGCCAGAAAAGCTGAAACTTACATGGAAGCTTCCTGGGGTAGTGCAGATTCTAAATTATTCAAATCATGCCCCCCGTGGGCTGGGTGGGGCCACAATGGGGAATCAAAGTTTTACATAGAAATATATAGGAAAAATCTTTAAAAATCTTCTTCTCAAGAACCACTGGGCCAGAAAAGCTGAAACTTACATTGAAGCATCCTGGGGTAGTGCGGATTCTAAATTGTTCAAATCATGCCCCCTGGGGGTTGGGTGGGGCCACAATGGGGAATCAAAGTTTTACATAGAAATATATAGGAAAAATCTTTAAAAATCTTCTTCTCAGGAACCACTGGGCCAGAAAAGCTGAAACTTACATGGAAGCATCTTGGGGTAGTGCAGATTCTAAATTGTTCAAATCATACCCCCTGGGGATTGGGCGGGGCCACAATGGGGAATCAAAGTTTTACATAAAAAATATATGGGGAAAAATCTCTGAAAATGATTAATCTTCTACTCAAGAACCACTGGGCCAGAAAAGCTGAAACTTATGTGGAAGCAACCCAGGGTAGTGTAGATTCTATATTGTTAAAGTCATGACCCCCCGGGGTTGGGCGGGGCCATAATGGGGAATCAAAGTTTTACATAGAAATATATAGGAAAAATCTTTGAAAATATTCTTCTCAAGTACCACTGAGCCAGAAAAGCTGAAACTTATGTGGAAGCATCCCGGGGTAGTGTAGATTCTAAATTTTTTAATCATGACCCCCAGGGGTAGGACGTTGGCCACAATTGGGAATCAAAGATTTACAATGTTGAATCAAAGCATCCTATGGTAGTATAGATTTCAAATTGTTTAAATTATGATCAGTGGGGTAAGGTGGGGTCACAATATGTATTACAAGGGGGATATCTGGTAAAAAACGGAATGTTCAAAGCTTTTCAGGTGAGCGATGTGGCCCATGGGCCTCTTGTTCTTAATAGGTATTCGGTCCTTGAGAAAGGAATTTCTTGTGCAATATTTGCCATGCTGGAATTATGTAGACTCTATTTAAAAATAATAAAAGGTTATAGTACATCGGAACTTACTGAAACGAACATCTATAAATTTAAAAAATTTCTAAAAATTATCGTCTCGGTTTCAATTCGAAATAAGTTGTGAATTTGTTTATAATATACCCTGTAATTAATAACCAATTAATTATATCAAAACACGGACGACCCACAGGTGTAGTGTCATCTATGTAACACCCAATTAACACCTCCATGCCAAGGCGTTCATTGTTTCCTGATAAGTCCAGACTGCATCAATTTTACGTTTGATTGGCGTGTATACACTCACAATCAAAACTTCGAGAGACAGAGAGTAAAATTCAATGAAATATTTGTAACGGGACCCAGATTTTGGTTCGAGAGATAGAGAACTTCGAGAGATAGAAGTTTGAGAGATCAGGAGTAAATTTGCTTAGTTAGATAGGGAAAAAACGGGACCGGAGGTTCACTTTGAGAGATCAAGAACTTTGAGAGATTGGAGTTCGAGCCATCTAGAGTCACCTGTATTCATGTCAGTCAGTCCATCCCACTAAAGTGGGGAAATTTAAGGATTTTTTAAAAATATGTTTAGGAGGTGAATCTACCCATAGTAAAAGATCTAGACGAGCTCTCCTGCCAGAACCAGAAGAGGAAAGACGAGCTGCGCAGCCTGAGATTCCAGACATACAGATGTCAGAAATGCAGCTCCCACTACCAGAAATCCCCCTACAACTAGACAGAGCCTCTCCTGAAAAAGTCAGGGCAGATATCAGTATGGGAGTAAGTAAAAAAATGTCCATATAAAGAGTGACACTATGAATCATAAGCACAATTTGTGTGATTTCAAGAGAAAAGTCAAAATCCTTGTATAATTATTCATAAAAATTGAAAATGTTCTTTTACTATACATGTAATTGGAAAATCTGTCATCATAAGTTGATCAAACAAGAGTTGCATTTGGTTGGAAATTAGTAATTAATGAAACAATTATTGTATCAAACTTAAAATTTCTGCAGACATTTCTTAATTGATTAATTTGCATCTTTGATAGAATGAAATGCCCTCTATGGAAATCCCCCGGGACGCCTCAATATCACTGGAGAGGAGTCTTCAGGACACCACCCCTATCCAGCTCCACCTGTCTGCCAGGAGTAAAGACGACTCCCTGTCTGATAGGTCCACGGCAAGGTAAAGTATCAGTTAAAATAGAGGATGGGGGAGGGATTTATTAATTGTTATCATTAACAGCCAAGCTCTTGCAGTGATTATAATGATCTTCATTTAAGCACATTGATATCTTCAAAAAATAGTTTTATGCCCTTCAAAGAAGGGAGGACATATTGTCTGTCTGTCAGTCCACCATCAGTTTCCATTTTCTTCGCCGAGGTTGCACATATTGAAATGAAATTTGATATACAGATTTATATACCTAATGTGACGTATCACTCAATTTTACTGTTGATTTTATGCTATCACACAATGTTGACTTTTCGGATCACTACACTGTAGTTTTCTGAATTCATATCACCACTCTCTGAAACTGATGACGTAGTACGCAGAAATATGACGTTATTTTTCTTGCACGTTAAAAAGTCCCTTGTTATTATGCTTTGTTTTATGGATAAATGTTATGCAATTGATCTCTAAAGTTTTCTTTTGCTATATTTTGCTAGTCACGAGGGGGTATATAATAAATTTATTATTATAACAGTAACTTGATACAACGGGTTGTATCACGTCTCGTTGACAGGCGCGGATCATCAGATCAAACTCGACACTTCGCATCTTGTTAGATCTGATGATCCGCGCCTGTCAACTTGACATGATACGACCCTTCGGATCAAGTTACTGTAATAATAATATATATTTATCATAAGAATATTTAGATCAAGCTCTGTTTTGGGTACGATCTGGCCATTTTGGACAGAGCTATGCCCCTTGGACTTTGAAAAATTCCAATTATTTGGTGGAGGGGTGCATATTTTAGTGTTTTACAAACATCTCTTGTTTTCTAAAGATTACTGGGTATTTATTATTTGAGGAATTGATTGTTTTAAATAAATTCCTTGCTGTAAGCAGTTTTATGTTTAATAAATCTAAATGGCAACTATTCTATTTAATCTTTTTCTAGTCGAAAAAAGAGGAGTCGATCTCGGGGGTCTATTGAGGAGGAGCTTCTGATCCCTCCCTCAGAGCACTCAGTGTCAGACACATTCTCGAGGATCAGTCGAAATCTCTCTGTAGTGCAGGAGGAGTCCGAGATACCTATGGTGGACACACCTTTACCTGTTATTTCCAAGCTCTCACAAGTAGAAAGTAGAGTTCTCAGGTATATATAAACAAAAAAATTATTTATTAAAATAAGATTTTACTTTTTCTTTTTTTTTTTCTTGTTGTCCTCATAGTTTATGGGCATTCTTTAGTAATTTGATATTCGTATTCAGATATTTTCTCTTTTAATTTCAGGTTAATCAACTCAAACACAAGTGAGAAGGACTACACAACATTTGAGGAAGTTTGCCCACCACACTTTTATGACAGAAGACTGGCAGCCTCCATGTTCAATGCCTTGCTTCGTTAGTATCAATCTAGAAACTACATGTATTGCTTTTCTCTTGCTTCATGATTTGGACACTGATCTGGCTTGAATTCAATCTTATTCAAACTTGTTTACAATACACTGTATCTCTTATGAGTTCATATTCTGGAGTTACATGTCTTTATAGTTGAAAATAGAAGCCCTGTCTATGAACATACATGTATGATATACATGTACATGCTTGTTTAAGTTATTATTCCATATAAAATGTTCATATTTAAAGCAATGCAGTTTTAATCTTTAGATAATATATTTATTAAACTTTCCCCTTAGATTTATGTGCCAAAGGGAATATATATGTTGACCAGAGGGAGCCTTACGGAGAGATGGTTATCCAGAGAGGACACAATTTCTAAAGATCAGGCAGAAAGACCAGTCTGTGGGCATCCATTATTTGTTATTATTTAAATGAGAGAAGTTGTACAAATGTTAATGAAAGCAACTGATAGGGTTTGTTGCATGCTATGTTTTCAAGCTATCTAATTACCCTTGTTTCTTGTTTAAGGCATGACATATCATGAGACAAAATTATGAATGAAATCATGTACAAATACTTGGTTTTTGTGTTATCTGTGTTTTAAGAAAGGTAATTAGGACAGTTGTTGATTGTTATTAATGTTCTTTATTCTTCATGTTATGATGTGCTTGTCACATTATTCTGTTGCTTGTATATTAGCAAGGAGAAAATAATTTGTTTGCACAATATGTTCAATCTCATGGGGATTTTTTTCTTTAACATTGATTTTATATATCAAACAAAGTAATTATAAATTATTTTACACTGAAAAACAAAGAATTGATGTTAAATACCACATTTGTGCACATTTTGTCACCTAAAAGAGCTTTTCCCACTTTTAAAATGCAATGATTGTTACAGTTGTGATATACCTCCTTGAAAATGCTGTTGATATGCTGTTTATGTTAAGGAGTTGGCTCTGTATATTAGTTAATATTTATTTTGTTTAATAGTCTGTTATTGAATTATGAAATTTTATCATTTCTTGTACAGTGTACAAATTTTATTTTTTCAAGTTAGCTTTTATACATTATGAACCATGGCTGGTGATTACAAATGCAACATAATAGCATTCATTGGGAGAGAAAAAATGAAGATTCAAAACTGATTTGGTATGTTTTAAATTAAATTCTATTATAACATTTTTTTTTTATTCAACTAGCAAATATTAACTTTCTTAACAAGCATTGTCAACAAAAGTGCACCATATAAATTACATAAAGTACCTCTTTGAAATCCTATGGACAATCAAAACAAACAAAAACCAAAAAAAAAATCATCGTTGATTAAGTTTCAATGTATTGACATATGTTTGCAAAGATTGCTATTTACCAAAAAAAAAATTGAATAGATCATGTACACACATGTAGCTTTTTTGGAGATTTCAAAGCTATGTTAAGATTGTAGAAAACTTTGCAAAATAACTTACTATCAAAACAAGAGCAACATTATTTCTTACATTCTAGAGTCTTCTTTTCTTTATCAGAAGCAATAAAATTATGTTATGCAGTCTTACTGTTCTGGAGTATTGTAGTCTCCCTATTGAGTCTGTTTTATTGTACTTTGCATTATGGACCTCATGTTAAATTATGAAGAACTTGTTTTCTATACAAAACTTGTTTTGATTTTACTGTTCATGTTGAATAAAATAAATTAAACTTTTGGTTATTGTAACATTTATTGATTATGATGACTGTAATTGACTTTTCTGTATGCCCAGTGGTCTGTAGACGAATAATAAAGAGTTGTTTACATGAGTATACAACAAACAAGTTCAAAGGACCCCCCCCCCCTCTCCTTATTTCGTTGTCTAAGTTATTAGGATGAACAAAAGTTACTGCAAAGACAAAGCTAAATAGGGACTCAAATAGGCATATCTCATATTAGACTTTCTATTGATATCAGCACTAGTGTATACCCTTCGCATATGGTACACCTGATTGCTTTATTGTCAGAGCACCAACGTGGAAAGGACGGCATGCATACATGTATTACTATGTGCTGGCTTGCTGTGCAACTATTTTATAGTTCTGGGGTATCTTCAATCTTGCTGCGGGAGAGTTTATATGTACAGTTATTTTGTCGTCACCGATTGTTTTCTACTACGCCTAACCACGTGTCTCAATCCACCAGAACAGATCAGTACATGTACATGTAATTGTTGGAAATTGAAAAATGATCTGTATGTGGATTTTGAGAGTTTGATTCGTGCTTTTTGTGAACGGACCCCCCCCCTTATTAGAATAATTTGTGTCTCGGAAGAAGCCCTCACCCTGTCCGTAGGACAATATCATTTTAACGATAAAATGTTCTATCTACACCCACCCTCTAAATCCGCACATGTAAAATGTAATTTATAGGTTGTTATTTTTTTTTAGGAATTTTGATAAAAGATTTATGTATCTAGCTGTCTTTAAAGAACTTAAAGTCAAGTAAAGATAATTTTGAATACACAGTACATGGTACACCATATATGTATGATGTGAGCTAGATAATCTATACTCTCGCACTGAGAAGTTGATACCGGGAAGTCAAAATGCCGATGATATTTGTGTACACTAATCTAAAGGACGAGAAAGTCGCTGCAGATTTCGAGATTAATACCTCCAGATGTGTGTCGGAAGTTCTGAACAAACCCAAAGAGGTACTTTTTTTTCAATATTTCTGACCATATTTTGGGGGAAATGGGCAAAGGCAGGTCATCAACTGGGACATAATAATATACATGTATGTACGATACCTTGATAGGGATAAAAGTCGTCTGAACTGTACATCAATCTGATAAAAATCGCTCCCAAATCATGATGGTGATTTTACAAATATCTTAATACTTATTTTTGAGGGATTATACAGAGACCATCAGAATTTCGAGCGTAACAAAGATCTGATTTTAATCAGATTGCATGATGTACATTTTAGTTTATATGTGAATTCAGAAAATATATCTCGTCATGCATATTTTGAACTTCATCCATATACGTATTTCAAGCTTAAAGCTATATGAGCTGCACTTTTCATGCCAGACAATGTTGTTAATTTTTTATGTAATTGTGTAAATTATATTTAATGTGACAGAAAAAAATGTTAAGCATTCGTGGGGAACGCAATTTTTCAATTGTTGTTCTTTGCTGTTTATTGACATTCTTTAATTAAGTACATATTCTATAACCCATCTCAAATTTTTTTGTAATTTTCCTCTTTCCAGAGAATTCATGTTATTTTGAATCCCGACAGACGTATGTGTAGGAACGAAGATACTTCGCCCTGTGTGCTGATTGAGATTCATTCAATAGGGGTGTTTAGCGCCGACAAAAATCCGGGATACACGGAAAAGTTTATGGAATTCTTTTCGAACACTCTCGGAATTCCTAAATCAAGGTGAACAATCTATTTTACGGATTCTACATTACATTGGTTATTGAAACCAATAGCGAAATGGGTTTAATATTAATTGTGCATTGAAGGGTTAAATATTAATTGTTATTCGATTACTGTATTTCCTCTTGCGGTACATGTGGGGGAGGGGGATGTCCCGTTGGATAAAAGGGAACAGTGCACCAAAATATCGTCAGTTTGTCAAATCTGATCATCGTTGCAAGCCTCGATTTTTTTGTCCATTATATTCTTAGAAAAACATTCAAGATACGAAAACCCTTGACTTGCAACAATGAGATTTTTTTAGTTTGTAATTTTATTATTTCTTTTTTATATTACTTAACCCTAAAAAAGATTTACAGGTAAGATAATTGAGACGGTCAGAAAAACATCATAATACGAATAATTATTTAACCCCACCCAAGATAATCCCTGCACTTGGGGAGGGGTACTCTATTTTCGTATGTGGACATGTTAACACAGCTAAAAGAAAATAAAGCAAAACTTGGACGACAATTGAAATTTTTCCACAATTAAAAACCAAATGATGCAATTATTCCAATCTGCAGTACCTCGAATGCATTGTCACGAACTGATTTATTTTTTTTTTTCATTTTAGAGTCACGCTGGTGTATAAAGCTGTCGAAGCCCACATGGTCGGGATATTGTAACAGAAATGTACTGTGTACTACTATACTGGCGTTATTCATATATAATTCTTTATCCCAGATTTCCCTGCAAAATCAGCGTTATTGTTCATTTACACATTACTCTTTTAACACTGAGAGTATGTACATCATTTATAATTTGAATGTTTAATTATTTTGACACAAGTTTGCGTATAAAAATATATACGGTTATCTGTATTGTCAGAGTGTCTGTTGTACGTTACAGTTAAAAGGATTTTTTGTTATCTTTACGGTACACATGGTACAAATATATGATATGCCATTCTCTAATAACATTATTGCATTTAATACATGATCTAATAACTATACGCTACTGATATTTTCCTCATAAATTGTTAATTATAATAATTATATTTTATATACCCCCTCCTTCACGGGAAATGATCGTCCCTTTACGATAATGTATATGAAAAAAAAAATGCCAGGGTATGCATATGTAATAAAAAAAATTGTGAAATACACATGATTTTTTTTTTTCATGCAGAATCATACATTGTTAGACTCTAAAGTTGAAAGTTTATTCATTGTTGTTGAAAATAAAAGAAAAGGGTAAATCTCTGATTCAAAATATTCAAAGGCTTTAAGCTAACTATTTTTTTTCTTCATTTTAATAGGTCATAACATCAAATAAGTAAAACATACATAATAATATACAATAATAATAATAACTAGATACGATCTCGTTGCGAAACAGTTCTTGTTCGATTCTTGATGAGATAAGATCAGATTTTGATTAGATTTCCATTCTAAAGTAATGATTTTCCATATTCTGTAAAAAGACATTGAACAATAAAGATAAAACAATTTTGGCCCCTCACGGCCCCTAATAAGGGATCAGCCCTTTTTTCTTTATAACATTTTAAAGCTCTCAGGATTATGAACACTTTTTGTTTAACAACTATTCAGAGATTCTTTTTCGTTTTCGAGTTATTTGGAAAATATATATTAAGGGACAGCCCTTCAACTCCCTAATGGGGACGTTTAGCAAAAAAGGAAAGGTTGCATATTGTTCAAAACATGGATTTGAACATTTTTTGTTCAATTTTACTGTATCAAAAAAAATCTCACTTTCGAGATATAAAGCGTCAAAGATTTGGCCTTCTGGCCCCTTGTGGCCCCTAATTATCTAATTTACTACATAATAATCATAATATACAGTTGTAGATTGTTGAGATAAACATTTTTGCTTCAGTAATGTATAGCAAAATATTACTGTTAAAGAGTTATCGAAAAAAGTTTTTCTTGGCCCCTAATTTGAGTGTCCAGCCCCTTTTTCTCGATTTCATCTTAAAGCTCTTAGGAGTTTGAAAACTTTTTGCTCAATAACTATTCAGAGATTCTTTTTTGTTTTCGAGTTATTTGCAAAATAAATATTTAGGGGCCAACCCTTCAACTCCCTAATGGGGACGTTTAGCGAAAAATGAAAGATTGCATATTGCTCAGAATATGTTTTTGAACATCTTTTGTTCAATATTTCTTATCAAAATATTTCTCACTCTCGAGATATAAAACGTCAAAGATTTGGCATTCTGGCCCCTTGTGGCCCCTGATTATGTACCATACGTCATAAAAATTATGATATATAGCTGTAGATTGTTGAAATAGACATTTTTGCTTCAGTAATGTATAACAAAATATTGATTGTTAACGAGTTATCGAAAAAAGACTATAAGCCCTTTTTGGCCCCTAATTTGAATGCCCAGCCCCTTTTTCTTGATTTCATTCTGAAGCTCTTAAGATTTTGAACACTTTTTGTTCAATAACTATTCAGAGAAAGTTTTCGAGTTATTTGCAAAAGAAATATTTAGGGGCCAACCCTTCAACTTTAATGGGGACTTTTAGCAAAAAATGAAAGGATGCATATTGTTCAGAACATGATTTTGAACATCTTTTGTTCAATATTACTTGTCAAAATATTTCTCACTTTCGAGATATAAAGCGTCAAAGATTTAGCATTCTGTGCCCCTTTTGGCCCCTAATCTTGTATTATACTACATTTAAATCATAATACACAGTGGTAGATTGTTGAGATAAACATTTTTGCTTCAGTAATGTATAACAAAATATTGATTCTTAAAGAGTTATCGAAAAAACACTTTAAGCCCCTTTTGGCCCTTAATGTGATGAGTCAGCACTTTTTTCTTGATATCATTCTAAAGATATTGTCATTCTGCACAAATTTTGTTCAGTATGTTTTATCAAAATAATTATATTTTAAAAGATATGATGCAAAATGTCTTAAAAAATCGGTCATGATTCGTGTCCTAAATTTTGACCCCTAAAGCTTCCATACTAGACACTTCCGGAAAATATCCTGACCCAGGTGCAACATGGCAACATGTCCTCTATTATCACTGAAAATTGCTGAAAAATGTTGGCAGATTCAGCGCTCTAGCTTAAGCCGTTATTGAGTTCTATCACAGACAAGGAGATCGTCTGAATTTTAAGAGAAGGGAGATAACTCTAGACCGGAAGTGATTTTCAAAAAATCCTTCAGCCGGAATTAACTTCAGATTATTTGGACCAACCCTGAAAATTTGAAACAAATCGATCCAAAGATCTTTGAGAAATTTCGGCACAAAATTTGTGCAGAAAAAAAGAATAATAATAATAACTAGATACGATCTCGTTGCGAGCAACGAGTGTGTTTCCGATTTTGACAAGATGAAATAAGTTTTTGATTGAGATTTTTATACTAAAATAATGATTTCTCAGAGGTCAAATAGAGTGAGATTTAAAAGATTTAAATTTTTAAAAAAAATTAAATTGCTTTCAATTGTAAAATTAAGTACTATATTTGTACTGTGAGCTATAATGAACATCATACAATGTGTTTTGAAACGTCTCAAGGGTCAAATAGAGTGAGATTTAAACGATTTAAATTTTACAAAAAAATTAAATTGCTTGGAATTGTAAAATCAAGTACTATATGTGTATTTTGTCAGATAGAGAACATCATACAATGTGTTTTGAAACCTCTCCGAGGTCAAATAGAGTGAGATTTAAACGAATTAAATTTTTCAAAAAATTTAAATTACTTCTAAATGTAAAATTAAGTACTATATATGTATTGTGACAGATACTGAAAATCATGCAATGTGTTTTGAAACATCTCAAGGGTCAAATAGAGTGAGATTTAAACGATTTAAATTTTTCAAAAAATTTAAATTGCTTCCAAATGTAAAATCAAGTACCATATATGTATTGTGACGAATAGTGAACATCATACAATGTGTTTTGAAACCTCTCAGAGGTCAAATAGAGTGAGATTTAAACGATTTAAATTTTTCAAAAAATTAAATTGCTTCCAAATGTAAAATCAAGTACTATATTTGTATTGTGAGATATAGAGAACATCATACAATGTGGTTTGAAACCTCTCAAGGGTCAATTGAGTGAGATTTAAACGATTTAAATTTTTCAAAAAAATTAAATTGCTTTCAAATGTAAAAACAAGTACTAAATATGTATTGTGACAGATAGAGAACATCATACAATGTGTTTTGAAACCTCTCAGAGGTCAAATAGAGTGAAATTTAAACGATTTAAATTTTTCAAAAAATTTAAATTGCTTCCAAATGTAAAATAAAGTACTATATGTGTATTTTGTCAGATAGAGAACATCATACAATGTGTTTTGAAACCTCTCCGAGGTCAAATAGAGTGAGATTTAAACGATTTAAAATTTTCAAAAAATTTAAATTACTTCTAAATGTAAAATTAAGTACTATATATGTATTGTGACAGATAGTGAAAATCATGCAATGTGTTTTGAAACGTCTCAAGGGTCAAATAGAGTGAGATTTAAACGATTTAAATTTTTCAAAAAATTTAAATTGCTTCCAAATGTAAAATTAAGTACCATATATGTATTGTGACAAATAGTGAACATCATACAATGTGTTTTGAAACCTCTCAGAGTCCAAATAGAGTGAGATTTAAACGATTTAAATTTTTCAAAAAATTAAATTGCTTCCAAATGTAAAATCAAGTACTATATTTGTATTGTGAGATATAGAGAACATCATACAATGTGGTTTGAAACCTCTCAAGGGTCAAATAGAGTGAGATTTAAACGATTTAAATTTTTCAAAAAAATTAAATTGCATTCAAATGTAAAAACAAGTACTATATATGTACTGTGACAGATAGAGAACATCATACAATGTGTTTTGAAACCTCTGAAAGGTCCAATAGGGTGAAATTTAAACGATTTAAATTTTTCAAAAAATTTAAATTGCTTCCAAATGTAAAATAAAGTACTATATGTGTATTTTGTGATAGAGAACATCATACAATGTGTTTTGAAACCTCTCCGAGGTCAAATAGAGTGAGATTTAAACGATTTAAAATTTTCAAAAAACTTAAATTACTTCTAAATGTAAAATTAAGTACTATATATGTATTGTGACAGATAGTGAAAATCATGCAATGTGTTTTGAAACCTCTCAAGGGTCAAATAGCTGAGATTTTAACGATTTAAATTTTTCAAAAAATTTAAATTGCTTCGAAATGTAAAATTAAGTACAATATATGTATTTTGACAAATACTGTAAACCAACTATTATTAGTGTCATCTTTTATTCGCGATTCGTCAGTTAAAAATCAATCAGCGATGATTAATTTCCTCGGCTGAAGAAACATTCTCTACAAATTCTTAGCAAAATGAATGGTTCGCGGCTATTAATATTCGCGAGATAAAGAAGGTCGCGGAACTCGCGGATATTTCTCGCACGCGAATAAAAGTTGGTTTACAGTAGTGAACATCATACAATGTGTTTTGAAACCTCTCCGAGGTCAAATAGAGTGAGATTTAAACGATTTAATTTTTTCAAAAAAATTGAATTGCTTTCAAATGTAAAAACAAGTACTAAATATGTATTGTGACGGATAGAGAACATCAGACAATGTGTTTTGAAACCTCTCCGAGGTCAAATAGAGTGAAATTTAAACGATTTAAATTTTTCAAAAAGTTTAAATTGCTTCCAAATGTAAAATCAAGTACGTTATTTGTATTGTGCGATATAGAGAACATCATACAATGTGTTTTGAAACCCCTCCGAGGTCAAATAGAGTGAAATTTAAACGATTTTAATTTTTCAAAAAGTTTAAATTGCTTCCAAATGTAAAATCAAGTACTTTATCTGTATTGTGAGATATAGAGAACATCATACAAT